TTTTAGTTCGCGGGTGTTACATTAATACGGAGGACATCAGTCAGAATGCAAGGGAAAGATTCTATCGTTGACATTTAGGTTCTGACTGGTTAATACAATATCAAAATATATTTGATTAAAGGATAAAAACAAAACATAAAAATCAATATGTATAAGTAAATAAGTGTATATGTTAAGAACGGTCAGAAATATAAAATTGGTCGCTCGCATATGTGTTAGATTAGATTTGTGGAGGACCCAGGTTCGAGCCCCGAGTATATCCACTCGCCCGGAAAAAAATAAAAAAATTTAAAAAATATAAAAAGAAAAAATTTTTTAAAAAATTTAAAAAATTTAAAAGGAAAAATTTAAATGGAAAATTGCCTCGTAGACGTCCACGAGTCCCCTCCACTCTTTTTTTCCACAGACATCTTTGGGGGGGAGGGGCCAGACAGACACACAGCAGGGGGCCAGTGGCCGAGGAGTGGGGGTTTGTTGTGACGCACCATAGTTGCCCCTATACTACTAATAAACATAGAATATAGAAATAAACATTTCAGATGCAATATAAGAAATTGAAAAAGGTATTGTATCTTGTAATACAGTAAGAAAAGAATTCTGTTTTAATGAAAGCATATCTTTCCACATAAATTATATTTTAAAAAAAGTTAATAAAAAAAAGTTGAATACGCATTCACCTTTAGTATGAATACGCATATTGATATATTAAAATAATTTTTGTTTAAATATATCGCAATAACAAGACAAGAACTGTTATTTATACTAACAAATATCAAAAATTGAACGTAAAAGAGAAAAATAATATTTCAAAACTGCTCTTGTAAATAACTGAAGGAACTTTACATTAATTGGCTGAATTAGATCTTTCTTTTCTTCCTCCTTCTCTATCTCCGCTTTCAGCAAGAAACTTAGATATTTTTTTTTTTAATTTCATCTTTTGTAGCATTTGGTAACTTTCTTGATACTATATCTATAAACAAAAAGAAAATTTATGCAGATAGTTTCTTTTGTTATGGTATAAAACAATAAGTATAAAAACAATTTTCTGTCCTCAAGATACACTAAATAAGGTTATTTATAGAAATTCAAAAGAGAAGAGAATAATCTCTTCAGTTGAAAAATAATATTAATATCAATTATATTCGTATTATATGTATAAACACAGATCAAAAAATTATTGCTAATTTAAACCTATAATAGAATATATTTATATCAAAAACATAGTTTAC